GAGGCAGAAATGTGTGTCGTAATAGTACACCATAGAAAGTAGTACACCATAGTAAGATACCTAATAGAGCCTGAGCCTGAGAGAAAAAGGTCATCTTACTATTTAAAAAAAATAATTTCAGATGTAACCGCATTATTTACAAGCAATTTTGAATTAACTAAACCATTTACAAAGAAGTACATGTAAAACTCCAAGCGAAAGCCATTATAATGCCAGCGATGACTTTTTCATATGTAAAAAGTGATTTCTGACATTCTCCTTATTTCTAAGCAGTGTTTAACACCATAGTGATGGCATGTAAATATCGATTACGTGCTTTCAATTGATATAATCGTCAAATACATTATATATTGATCATGGTCCTTGATTGTTTTATTAAAAATTATATTGCCAGTGAAAACTAAAATGATATGACATAAACATTATTTGTATATTATTATTGATGATATCCTAAATGCTTTCTTTATCAAATGATTTGGTGCCAAACACTTTATTAAAAAAAAGTGGGAGTATTACTAGTTTGCTACCATAAAGATAGTTCCCCCCCCCCCCGGTTGAAAGTAGCAAAGTGTACGGGCGGGCGCGGGCTTGCGCCTTTTTTGCCTGTCTCTTCTTCGCCGATGAGGGTGCACTTCATCTCGGGGCGGAGATTATTTTGTACACGTTAGCAAGAAAGTGGTGACTCACATACCGTACCAGGGGTGGCGAATTTGCCTGGTCGCAAACACTTGAGATTTCGCATTGTTATGATTTTGAAATGACACAAAGACTTCTTGATTTGTAAGTGATGGCGGAAGAAACCCTTATTGAAGATGGTAAGTGGGTGTTCTTCTCAATCGTGTATCGAGTTGTGTAGTGTTCGGCGTTCACCGCACACTATTCCTAACTTAGGCCTACAAGCTACATGTCATGACATGTACTATTGGCTAGGCCCCTTGAATATCGTGTCGTGTGGGTAGCTAGACGCGTACTGTAGCCTAGGGTAGTCCACTAGTTCAAGCCCCATTGAAAACAATGTAAAATCAGCAGTGTCACGGCCCAGTAACATGCATACCAACATCCCTGAGATTTCTGAAACACAAATTGAATTATTGTCTGGCCCCTATCTTTCAATTTCTTTTCAATTTTTTGTGGTTTAACCAATTACACTTTTAATTATTCCCTTGAAACAAAAATTACCACCTGAAAATTTATTTTTCCGAAGTCTGATTGCAGTCATTTTTGAAGTGGCAACCCTCAACTTTCTCGGGCACTGAGGACCATTTTTCAATTGTAGTTTTAAGCCATTCTGCTCTCATATGAAAGCTCAAAGACCCAGGCATGCCAGGGAGTTGATCCTTGCAAGGATTTACACAATCTCACAATGTTGGGGGCCAAACAATCTCCTTTTTCAAGAGATACTGTGGGGGCACTTTTATTAATGCTAATGAGCTGGCAAGAAATTCTCACTTGAATTATTGGACTGCACCCTGTAGTGTAGGAAGCTGCCATGGCTGATTAGTACATAGACCTAGGCCTACATGTACATGCACATTGTACGCCGTCTTTGGACGTCCATGGGATGCCATGAGGATGACTTGGGATGCAGGGGAAACTGTTGGCAATATGCAGCCAAGGCCAAATACTGGCCAGAGTCATGGGCCATGGCAGTAGGCGTAACACATGTAGTAGTACATGTAGTTTTTTCACCTCTGTGACTCTGGGGTTCGATTCCTGGCTAGGCTTGGTACACGTACACTTGTCGGTTGAGTTTTCATTCTGTCATGTCTGTAGGTCTTTCCCTTTGAAAACTTTTCCCTAGTCCTATGTGTACTTCGAGAACACTGAGCTATGAGTGATCAGTAGAATGGAAGCAAATTGGACCAATCACAGTGTGGCGTTCATCTGTGAATGAGCGTAAAACAAGAAGGAAAAGATACGGTATTGCAGGAGCTGTGTTGCGATTCGTCAAACTGTAGCACGTGCTGCCGATTTTCTGTAGTGTGAATGGGCAAAGTGCCTAAGAATTTCACCATTTTAATGAGAATATAAAGTGAATAAATCTCCCCATCTGACATCTAACTTCACTACTCCCATAACTGTAAGGTTTGTACAAACGAACGAACGAACTACATGTATTTTCAAGAAGCATTTTTTGCATTGGGGAGATGTAAATTATATGACAGGTTTGCCCTTACACAACGTATATATTAATAAACACTGCATGCTCAGTGCTTGTCCGAG